TCCCCCTCCGGGCGCCTCCCGCTCCTTGTCCGCCGCGGGGGCCGCGCCGGGGCCCGAGCCCGGGCCTGAGCTGGAACCCGGGCCTGAGCTGGGGCCGCTACAGCTCCGGGGCAGTCCGGAGGCCACGACTCGCCCGTAGATGTCCCGGAAAAGGCTCTCCATGCAGGCAGTCAGGTAGATGGCGGCGTGTTCGTGGATGCGCAACGCCACGCGGCTGTCCACCATCCAGCGGTACACGCGGCCCACGGAGAAGGTGAGGCCGCATCGCGCCGACTTGCCGCGGCCCAGGCGGTCGCCGCCAGCGCTGCTCATGTTGTAGAGCGACAGCGCGGCCAGCGCGGCCGCCGTGCAATGCGCCGCCAGGCTCCAGGACAGCACGATCTCCATGGCACTCTGGATCTCGTACTTGGTGCACTTGGCGAAGCGCAGGCTCAGGCGCTGCGCCTCCTTGGCGATGCGCACCAGCGCTCGGCTCACGAGCGTCGACAGCTTGGCCAGCGCGTCCTTGGGCAGGCCGCCGGGGGCCCCCGGGCCCGCCCGCGACTCCCGCGAGCGCAGCAGCAGCGCCTCCAGCTCCTGGAGGGTCCAGGGGACCTCGTCGAGGTCCGGCAGCAGCCGCGAGCAGTGCTGGCCGGCGCAGTCCAGCCCCTCGGAGTCTTCCACCAGGGCAGTGTTGACGGTGTCAAAGCTGTTGTGCCGGCTGTGCATGGAGTCAGCTAGAGGCGGCCAGCAGCTCCCGCCATACGGGGACGCCGGGTGAGAGTCGGAACAGCACAGGGACAAGTTGGAGGAGCGCACCGAGTCTGCCGCGCCACCATAACCCGAGTCCAGCGTCAGATCCTCCAGCGTTCGAACCACGGGCTTCTTACCTCTCCTGGCCATCGCTGCGCCACTTCATGCTGTGGCCGCCGGGGAGCCGAAGAGAAGGAGCAGCGAGGAGCAGGCGGTGCCGGGGGGCGCGGTGAGAGCCGAGTCCGCGATGCCTCGGCTCACTTTTCCACCAGCTGCTACGACCAAGTGCTACTACTTTCGGTTGCCTCCCCGAGCTGCCGCCGCCGCCGCTGCGGTGCGGGCACACAGGGCTGACTCCACAGTCATCTTTCAGAGCCCAGGCCGGAGTGGGGGCGCTCAGAGGAGCAAGCCAGGCCGGATGCGAAGCTCACGCCGGGACTCGCCCCCTTCCTCCAAAATAAAAAGTGTCTGACCCACTCCTCCCTGGGCTTGGCTGGGCGCAGAAGCTGCGGGGCCAGCGGGCCACACTGGTCGCGAGTCGGAGACCGCCGCAGACGCTGCCGCCGCCGCAGCTCCGCGAGCAGCTGGCTCCCAATTCCTGGCTCCCAGCTCGCAGCCGCGGCTCCCGTGGTGCCCGCCCGCCCCGCACTCAGGAGCAGCAGCGGCGGCGGCGGCGGCGGCTGCAAACCTGGACTAGCCTCTGCAAACGCCGGGCAGGGGCGGGCGTATGCAAAGCAGGGCAGGCGGAGAGCCAATTGGATCGGAGGATGCTAATGAACTCTCCCCCCCGCTTATTTTTTTAAATTTCTTCACCGCACGCGGCCCCGCCCCCTTACCCACACACCGCCCCCCACCTCCCCGTCGACCATGACCTAGGTTGCAGGAAGTGGGGAGCTGGGGCCTGGGAGTTGGGGGACACACAGAAGCTTGGAGATGCGGACGCTGCCCTCCAGCTTCTGTCCCTGCTGCTGGGGCGTTTAGCTTTGACATCAGACGGGAGGGTGGTGGGTTGGTTTGGCTACACTCCCCCTCCAACCCAGGTGCTCCCCCCCGCGGTTCACAAAGTGTCTGCCCTAGACCCACGTGCGCGTTTCAATTTTCGCTTTCCTTTTTCTTTTAACACCCGGAGCTAGCGCTAGTCCCCCACCCCCACCCCTTATTTCCCTGTCTATGCCCAGCTTGGATCTCCAAATCAACTAAGACGCCCTGGTTTGCCTCAAACGGGAGGAAAAAAAAATCAGAAACCAGGCCTGGAGAGATCACACGATGAAAGCGACTGCTGGGCGAAACTCCGGACATTAGCAACTTGTCACCAAGGTTGATGTCCTAGATTCCTTTCAGTAGCCAGGAGGTCCCTGTGCCCATCCTTCAAAGACTTGGGGATGTGCAAAAGGGAGGGTTCATCCCCCACTTTGCCAGTCTTCATAGGCATCCCAGACAACTCAGCCTTAAGAGTAAGTTTACACTGAGGTGACCTTGCTCTTTTGACTAAAGACAGATTTAACAACACATATGGATGATGTAACCACATTTCTGAGTCAAAAGGTGATGCCTTGTTTACTTGACTGTCCCCTGCCCTCAACCTGCCAGAAACCATATCATATACTTCTGGGGATTCCTAGCAGGCCACATAGGAGCTCTGGTGGCTTAGTGCCTAAAGCATTTGACTGCTAACCAGAAGGCCAGTCATTCAAACCCACCAGCCACTCAGAAGGAAGGTCGAGCAATCTACTGCTGTAGTAATACTGCCTTGGAAACCCAACCCCCAAGGGGTGTTGCTATGAGTGGATCCAACTTGGGGGGAATGAGCAGCAGCCCACACAGTGCCTTGCCCTGGCTCTTTGGGGCCCCCTTCCTTTGACTTGAATTCTCAGCTTCCTCCTACAGGAAGTCACGCAGACTGGCTCAGGTGCTTCGACTTCCCCCCACCTCCCTGCTTCCACAGTTGCTGACTTCTGGACCTTGCCACACTAGGTTGTTACAGTCTGGTTATTTGTCTGGATTCCATTAGGCCTGAGCACAGGCCTGGCACAGAGTAGAATGGATGGAGGAAGGAAGGTTTTGAACTGTTGGCTTAACTGTTCAACGTGGACTTTTCTCAGATATCCCAGTGTACTGTCTGATGTTACCCATATCTGTGTACCCCAAATCCACCATCACCCTGTAGTTACCACTAATGGTCATTACCCCTCACCTCGACTGTTATAATAGTGCACAAACTGATGCCCTGTTCTAACCCTTCCATCTTCAAACCATTTAGTTCCAAGAATCTTCCTAAAGTCCAACTGTGCTGTTACCATTCCTCTCCTGAAAACAAAGTCAGGCTCCCCATGCCTTCCAGGGAAATAAAGTTTACACTGATTAGCTGGCCTTCAAGGATATCCTCTCTCTGTGCCCACACTCTTTCACAATGTTCTAAACCTTTTAAAAGGGATATGTATGTGGTCTGTAGTGATCCTCCCCAACCTCTCGCCCATTACCATGGCCTTCTGTGTGTATCCACTCACATAAGTACACACAGACACGTGCCAGTCTTCACAGGCATCCCATGAACCCTCCGTTTTCATGGGGCATGAACCCTACCTTTTGCACACCCCCAAGTCTTTGAAGGATGGGCACAGGGACCTCCTGGCTACTGAAAGGAATCTACGACATGAACCTTGGTGACAAGTTGCTAATGTCCAGAATTTCGCCCAATAGTCGGTTTCATCGTGTGGTCCCTCCACACCTGGTTTCTGATTTTTTTTTTTTTCCTCTCTCTCTCTTCTGGTTGAGGCAAACCAGAGCATCTTAGTTGGTTTGGAGATCCATATATAGACACACACAGATCCACTCACACACATGAACACACAGACATACACACATGCCCTGCACTTTAGCCATACTGAAATTACATGCTGTTTTCCCCCATTGAATGTATTGTCTCTTGCATTTATATGCTTTTGCAGATGCTCTTCCCTCTGCCCAAGACACCCATCCTCCATCTTTTCCACCTCGCAAACTCCTTCTCATCCTCTGAGATTCAACTCCAAGGTTACCAGCACTGTGAAGATCTCCCATGCTGCCTGTTCTCCATCCAGTCCAAACTGTGGAAGATGTCCCCATCTCTGTTGCTCGGGGTTTGTTCTCAGGACCTTTCTCCTCTGCAGGTTTCCTTGGTGACCTCATCTTCTCCCAGGCCTTCTGTGACCACCTAAATGCTAAGAATGTCTGCTTGGTGCTCATTTAGTAGGAGACAGGCAGCAAGAAGACCCTGAAGTGGTCTCAGGCCTAAGACAGAGTAGAACTGCCCCACAGCGTTCTCTAGGCTGTAATCTTTACAGTTTTCCAGTAATATACTGGAAATAGTGTTTCACTGCTATTCATAAGGTTTTCAGTGGCCAGTTTTTCAGAAGTGGATGGCCCCATCCTTCTTCCCAGTCTGTCTTAGTCTGGAAGCTCCCCTGAAGCCTGTCCACCGTGGGTGACCTTGCTGGTGTTTGAAATACCAGTGGCATTGCTTCCAGCCTCACAGCAACACGCAAACATCACAGTAAAACAAACTGACAGACAAGTGGAGGATATCATGTTTGGTAAAGTAGAGGGTCAGTGAAAAAGGAGACCTTCAGTGAGACAGGTTCACACAGCGACTGCAACAATGGGCTCAAGCATAGTAATATTGTGAGGGTGGTGCGGGACTGGACAGTGTTTCGTTCTCTTGTACGTAGAATCACTATGAGTCTGAGCCAACTCCACGGCACCTAACAACAACAGTCTTCACAGAAGTAGATCACCAGGTCTTTCTCCAGCTGAGCAACTGGGTGGGCTCGAACCACTAACCTTTAAGTTACAGCCAAACACTTAACCATTGCACCATGAGAGCTTCTTAATATTACAAATAAACCAAAGCATATATCCATTCAGTTTGCTGAAACAAATCATCAGTGATGGTGTTAAGTGACTGAGGGTGACAGTAAACATTGAGAATAATAAGCAATCAACCAACTGTTAAATGTTAGTCCCGTGCTGTTACAAAATTCAGTGTCTGCAAACTGTAAGAGGAAAATTTAAATAGTCTAAAATCTCACCTCACAGAGAAAACTAGCATTAACAACTTCTTGTGTTTCACGTTAGTCTTTTTGAGTTTTCCTCCAGCCTTTTTCTTTTAAGTATATATATTTTAACACAATTGGGATTATTCTGTAAAGTATTTTGCATTCTGATTTTTCCTCAGAATTTATAGAATAATCTTTTCCCTGTATAGTTAAATACCCATCTAGAATATTCTTTTTTTGGTGTGGCTACAAAATACTCTATCGTGTCTAAACTTTAATTAGTGTCTTAATTCCTCATTTTATTATTTCAATTTTTTTCTTATTATACATAACCCTGGGATGAACTTCTTTGTATAGAAATAGGTCTGTTCTTTAAAACTAACAATATATATGTGTGTGCGTGAATATATCTACTATCCTCATAGACATGCAGACAGACAATAAGCATATATAAAAGAAAGAACAACAACAAAAAACTTTAATTAATGGGTAATTTTGGCTATCAGATTAACAAAAATTGATAAACTCTGTCTTGATGAATGTTTACCTCAATGGGCGAAAATTAGGACCATCTTTTGGGAGGGTTGTTGTTGTTAGGTGCCATTGAGACAGTTTTGATTCATAGAGACTCTGTGTGCAACAGAACAAAACACTGTCGGGTCCCGCGCCATCCTCACAGTCCCTGCTGTGTTTAATCCCATTGTTGCAGCCACAGTTTCAGTCAATCTCATTGAGGGTCTTCCCCTTTTCTGCTGACTCTCTTCTTTACCAAGCATGATGGCCTTCTCAGGGACTGCCATCCTCACTTCTAAGGAGCATTCTGGCTATACTTCTCCCAAGACAGATTTGTTCATTCTCAGGCAGTCTATGGTACATTCAGCATTCTTCACCAACGCCATAACTCAGTTACCTCAATTCTTCTTTGATATTCCTTATTCATTGTCCAGCTTTCCTGTGTATATGAGACAATTGAAAGCACCATGGCTTGAGTCAGATGTGCTTTCCCTCACTGCCGTCCAGTCTTTTCTGACTCATAGTGACCCCTCCTTGGGTTTCTGAGGCAGAATCTCTATGAAAGTAGATTGCCCTATCTTCCTTCCAAGGAGTGGCTGGTGG